CCCCCCCCAAACTTCCCCCCCCCCCCCCCTCCTCATCATTTCCTACTCTCTCGCTCTCCCCCCCCTCCCTCATGTGTTTTGCCCGCCCCTTACCTTCACCTCCACCCTGGTTTTTTCCAGCACGCGGTAGACGCACCCCCGCTATCCGAGCTGGCGTCGAACATCGCCGGTGCCACGAAGGGTAGCGCGCCGCTAGACTTCGCGCTATGCCTGGCTCTGAACCACACGGTGGTGCTAGAGGAAGACCCGAAGACGGGCCAGAAGCAGATGCAGGCGGAGTCGCCGGACGAAGAGGCGTTGGTGGACGGGGGAAAGGTGGGTCATTGGATCGGTCGCGGGAGGGAGTCTTGTTTTGTGGTGGTGGTTGGTTGGTTGTTGCCTGCATCAAACGATGACTCTCGATGCGACGGGAATTTTCCGCGCCACCACTCCTCTCGGCTGCGGAGATATCGAGCTTTGAAAAGCAATGCCAGGTGGTACGGTTTCTTGTGTCACCCTGCGCATGCTGTACGGTGCTGAAGGTTTTTCCTGAGGAGTTTGTTGGCACGCAGGCAGCACTGTGGACGAGTTGCACAAAAACATCAGTAAATTAAGAGTTGTGCCGCAATTAGGCACTATTATTACCATAGTCCCGGGCATTGGAAATACATTGTGCGAGCCATGCTACGCATCTTCCCGTGCATGCAGCGGACCTACAATCCGCTCGCCTTTCACCCGCGAGAATTGTCCCCGGCCGTGCAACGGCAACGGAGGAGGGTCGCGCCCACCGCGTGGCGACCGCGATCCCTACTCCGTTGCCTTGTACACCCGGGGACTTGTCTCACGAGCTTCGGGAGGTGTGTAGATTGCAGGTGGACTGCGTGCAGGGGACTGTGCACGGCATGTTCGCAATGATAAAATTTCCAACGTCCGGTGTAGCAAAGAAGTCATTTGACACAACTTTTGTTTCTGTGTCCGTGTGCAACTCGCCCGTGGTATTTGCTGCGTACAGCCAGCCTCTTGGCGAAACTCCTGGGTATCCCATGTCCGAGTGAGATGTTGCCGGTGTGTTGTACGACGTACCAGTATGTGGTACAAGAAACGATGAGTCAACGCTCGATGGTCGGTGATCCGCCTTTGAGTGTATTGCCAAGTAATGAGTATGGCCGCGAACGGCGAAATTCAGCAGTCGAGGTTGGACTCCGTGTTTGCCAAAGGGGCCTCGTCATGATGCGATGATCGACACTGAATAATTTTCACTGAATGCATACCGCGTTCTCTCTTTCGCGCGATGAAACCCCGGTGTGCTCCCCCCTGCTTTAAGTGGAATACCGGGAAAAATTATCCCAACCCCCTCATCTCCCTCTAGAACTTTTCATATGCCGGAGCCCTCCCCCCCCCCCCCCCCCC